AGCTGGTATTCCACTGGGTGATTAAAAGGAAAACACACTCTTTAATATCATGACAGCTAGAAACTTGTCATTTTCAAGGCCCATCTTTAAATCGTACTTGGTCCTCATCCAGGGACACCGATTAGACTGACAAACAGAGACTGTGACATCTTCCACTCTCGTATATCTCCTGGCGGAAACGTAGGATCTGACCATATCCCTGTTATAATACAACTACAAACTTCTCCATTTAAGAATACTGTACCTCCTAAACCCAATCTTAACACCTAGGATTTGACCCCTTCAGGGCATTTTATGGGTGACGATGAAATTGTGTCATTGGAAAATCTAACCTTCACTGCATTGATGGAGCAATCAGTCCTGCATAATAGGTTAATTGAGCTACTAATGCAAACTGTCAATTGAGTTCCACAAAGATTTACAACATTGTATACCTATAGGAAATTAGAGACAGTTTAAGATTGCCACCCCTATCACTTCCTACAACCCGATCGCTGATTGATTTTTTCATATCAAGAGACTGTGATATAGCATCCGTCAAATGCGACACCACCAGCAGCTACACTGTATTGCACCCGATCTAAGGCAAGAATTAATAAATGATGAGTCATCACAAAACGGGACTTATGGAAAATTGCTAGTTCTTCAAGCTAATCAGTACACACGGGAACCAGCAAAATTTTTGGAGTAAAGATCCAACAACTTTTAGGGGCAAAGCACCAGGCTCTAACTACCTAGTTCATACCTTCATGTGAGGTTGATGAAGATGTTGAAATTAAATTGACGATCCACAGGACAGGCTTATTTGATGGGTGATGTTATGGGAGAAAATTCTCTCCCACATAAACAGTCGTCAATTTAACAATATCTTATCAGTTGGTAAAGAATGGAAAAGATGAGAACTTGAGATCTACAACTCACTACCTTCCATCGATACTTCAACTCTTGAAGTACCCACCCGCTTACTAGACCTATTTACATTACTGAGATGAGTCAGTTATTGGAAGAATGCGCAAAATAGAGACCCTGGCCTCTCTGGAATAAACATATGAAACAAATAAAGTCTCCCCAGAAAATTGTAAACAGTCTTTGGTAATATCTTTAATGACCATCTTGGCCTCAGGACATTTTCCAGTTGTTTTTAAGACTGCTAGGATGATCTTTCTAGTAAGCCCAATAAAAAGACATTCACCACCTGGGAACTAAAGACCTATATCTTACTTTGAAGTCACTGGAAAATTTCTTGAGAAGGTCATTTCCAACAGATGAAAACTACTATATGGAGTTTAATCACTTTTTTACTGAAAACAATTTGGCTTTGGAACAATAGAGTATCAATCATGCAATAAATGTTATTTTCGATACTGTAGCAAGTCTAAAACTCAGGGGAATCTTGCCTTAATTGCCACCAGAGATGTTCATAAGCTTTTGATAGCTTATGGCATGATGGCCTTATATCAAAAATCATTGACTACCAGACCATATAAATTGGACTTACCCTCAGCGTAATATATAATTTCTTAACTCAAAGAAAAATCATTCCCCACCTTTCATGGCAGGTCGACAGAGCCTTTTGTATACCGACGGCAGGGCTGGTGTTCCACAACGGTTTGTCTCGTCCACTTCTGTTCACATCCTATGTGAATGACCTTCCTCAACCAGAGGTTTAGTGATACGATTGTGGACACAGTTTGCAGATGATGTTATGCATGTCGTCTCATCAACTCAGGTGCCAGGAAAATACGAATATGTGAGTGTCATAGAAAAAAATGAAATATTGAAAACTTCGTCGAACATCTAATTGGAAAAGAAGTGGAGAATGACGACGAATCCCGAGATGGGTCCCTTGTTAGCCACGGATAGGATGTTTTGACATCACACAATTGAAGATAAAGGAGGTTATCTCCATCAGAGGTACAACTGTAGCCTTAGAAACCCTTACAAGATTTTGGGATACGAAATAGACAGGCTGCTCACTCAACATCTCATGTAACTAAAAGAGCAACATAGCCAAAGCCGTCTTAGCAGTCTCTTTCGATTCAATCAAGCCCCTGAAAATGTCAAAAAACATCTGTTATAAAGGTTAATAAGGCCTATACTCGAATACCTTGTGTCCCAATTTTGTCATTAACAACAAGGGACAAATAGGCTACGGTTTCAAAGGGTCCAGAATAGAGCTCTTCGCTCATTCCGATACAGGAGGAGAGACAGACTAAAAATGCAGATTTACACATACAACATTATATTACTGCCATAAATGTACGCCTTGACACCCTAAAAAGATAAACTCATACATATGCAAGAAAACTATACATGCTAGGATAGAGAACATCCTATACCCAAAGTGGTAAATACCACGGATTATTAGCATCAAATTCTCCTCCTCACTGGAATCAATAAAAAAAAAAATGACTCTCCCACAGAGGGTCCGTCTTTTTATACATAAAGATGGATTACCCTCGACACATGTATTAGCTCCTCCCTGAATGAAGAAGATTGGGTAACACCAGAACCCTTTCTATGTTATACTGAGTACATCATCGCCCCCAATTAGGGAGACATCTTGTATAACAACCTAATGTAAAAATTATGCTATTTACTATGGCTGGACACCACCTGTAAGAAGCCATTGTCACGGAATTCTATAAACTGCCCAGAAAATTATTGCCTTCATTGTCGCATAAATATCCGTTGTGCAATCACCAAAAAAAAAAAAAAAAAAAAAAAAATTGCAACTTGTATAATTACTACCAATTCAGAGTCATGTACTTATATTCTGTTATATCTATGTGACTCTCATGGGTTAGTCTTATACCTCTTAAAGAATATCTTATCATTTCACGTACACTTTTTAAATTACACCAAAGTGGTTGGGCCACTTACCTTTTATATCCTACCTCTCTCCCCCCTCCCACCCTTTTCCAAAATTTCTATCCTTACCCATCCTTCTTCCTTACCCATCTCACCAAAGCTCTGGTCTGGATATCGAATACCAAACTGAGCATTGGGTGAGTAGGTGGTTTTTAAGAGTAGTCTTGAATTGATGTACAGACAGGGTTCCTTTGGTATTCACTCATAATGAATTCCAAATTTTTGGGCCCTTTATGTGCATAGAACTTTTACATAGTGTGAGATGGACACAGGGAACATCAAAGGGTGATCTGTGTCTTGTGTTATGGTCATGTGTCCTGTTAAGGTTGGTAAGGATAAGTTTGAACAGAGGGTTTATATTCTATGTATTAGTAGGCACAATAATAAGTATGGATGTTCTTTATGGTGAGTAAGTTTAAACTTTTGAATATTAGTGGAGTATGCTGTCTGGAGTGGGAATTTATCATTCTGACAGCAGCCTTTTGCTGGGTTATTAGTGGTCTGAGATGATTTATTGTTGTTGAGCCCCATGCACAAATTCCATAGGTGAGATAGGGGTAAATGAGTGAGTAATACAGGGCAAGAAGACGTGGTTGTGGAACATAGTACCGTATCTTTGATAGTATGCCTATGGTCTTAGAGACTTTCTTGGAAATTTGTTGTTGTACAGTGGTACCCCGAGATTCAGCCACCTCCCAACTCTAACACTTATATAAGTGTATTATTGTAAATGCTTTTGTAAGTGTATTTTTGGGTTTCTGAAATGGACTATAATTTACATTATTCCTTATGGGAACAAATTCGTTCGGTAACGGCACTCAAACAACTTTCTGGAACAAATTATGGCTGAAACTCAGGGTACCACTGTATGTGTCTGAAATTTGAGGCTACTGTCAAGGTGGATTCCTAAGAATTTTCCCTCTGTGAGTCTTGTAACAGGTGATCCATTTATCATTGTTAAGTGGAACACTTGCAGCTCTGTTTCCAAACTGAATGAAATAGCTTTTGTCAATATTGAGAGTAAGCTTGTTAGTCATCATTCAGGTAGATACTTTCTGTAATTCAGCACTTAGTGTTGGCTAGTATGACTGGGCTTCGGGGAGAGAAGACATATGTAGCATCATCTGCAAATAACATGGGTTTGAGTAGCTGAGATGCATTTGGTAGGTCATTGATGTAAATGAGAAAGAGAAGTGGGCCAAGAACACTTCCCTGTGGGACCCCGACTGTAATTGGTTGTGTGGAAGAGTTAGCTCCATTTGTGTACATATATTGGCTTCTGTTGCTAAGGTATGACTTTAGGTAGTTGAGGGAGTGCCCTCTTATACCATAGTTTGTTAATTTCATGTGCAACAAATCATGGTCAACTGTATCGAAAGCTTAACATAAATCATTGAAGATTCCCAGTGGGACTTCTTTTTTTTCTTGAGAGTGGTGTATATTAGTTCTAGCATGTGTATAATAGCATCATTTGTGTTTTTATTAGGCCTGAATCCAAGCTGAGAGGGGTTGAGTATGTTGTGGGAGATGAATTAATTTTTCAGAGATTTTAGAGAGAAGGGGTAAGTTAGGTATTGGCCTGTAGTTATTCAGGTCTGCTTGATCTCCTCCTTTGTGGATCGGGGTGACCCCTACTATTATGAGAATTGCCAGGAAGGTGGAGGATTCGATGAATTTGTTAAAGAGCGTTGCAATAATTGGTGACAGTACTTGAGAAGCTTTTTTGTACATAAAAGGTGGTAAGTTATTTAAATCTCCTGCCTTATTTTTAAGTGTGTTGATGATGAGTGAGACTTCTGTTGGGTTGGTCAGAGCTAGGAATAGTGTATTTGGGTAGGTGCCAGTGAGGTAGTCTTTTGGTGGGGTGTGTGAGCTTGGGATTGTGCTCACTAGGTTTTTTCCTATGGTGGAAAAGAAAACTCAGAGTCTGTTTTCTGTTTCAGTCGGTGGGAGTAGAGGATCATCTGGTTTTGTTAGTTTGGTTGTTCTGTTTTTGGATATCTTTCTAGTTCTTATAATTTCGGATAAGGTTTTCCAGGTCTTTTTCATATCACCTTTTAAGTCAAGGGAAGTACACATTTTCACTGAAAAAACTATGTTGTAATTAATATAAGAAAAATCTCTTGCAGGATTCACGGAAATTTGTTTGTGGTGGTATGAGAGGACAGTTTTACCAGTGTGATTTAGAAGGTCACATCCTTGATTCCTGGGAAGGGGTTAGAGTCCAGTGCCTCGCTATACAAAATGACGGAAGACAGTTCTTGCTTCCGATACACATCATCGCATCAGAGGGTACCACTTTGATGAGGTGCAAGACCATAATATGTAAGTAATAATAAGCTTTTCCAGTATATTTTTTAAGTAAAATTGATTTAACTTAGTTTCAAGAGTAGGTATTATGGGTCCTCGATGTTCAAGAATCGGTAAAACATTGTGTGTATTTTGTACTTATGCAGTCCTAAATTAAGGAGTTGATTGGTGGTTTGGTGAAATTTCATGGGCTGGGTGATAGCAGGAATAGAGGATTCTTATAACCATATAGAGTATCATGAAAGAGGAGACACAATAACCACATGGAGTATAACAGAACCACATACAATATCATAACTGAAAGCAGTGACAAAAGGATGCTAAAACTATCTCTTTACAAATTATGATGGAATGACAGAACGGTATCCAAGAGGAAACTTTTATAAATTGTGTAAGAAATTAAACTCTGAATTGGGACATTACAAACCTAGTTCTGCTACAGCTAGGTATTACAGTAATAATTTTATATAGTATTCACATTCTGTCATTTATGTAATGTACAATGAGTGATATAAGTGTTTCCACCATGTATATTGATACAGTACTACAAAAGTTGCCACTATCAACTTTATTTTGCAGCATTCAGGAAGACCACAGCATAATGTCCTTCACTCTTGATAATACTGGCAACTATGCTTTGCTTAATGTGGGCTAATCAGGGAGTTCACTTGTGGGACCTACGCAATAGAACTTTAGTCCGCAAATTTAGAGGTCTTACCCAAGGTCACTACACGATACATTCATGCTTTGGAGGAGATAATCAAGACTTCGTAGCATCAGGAAGTGAAGGTAAGTCCTTCCTTGATATTTGTCTCCATTGCATTATTAAATAAAAAAAAATTATTGTCTCATTCTTATACTCTTCTTCCATCAGTTTTTTTTATCTGTATATTCTCACTCCACACATCTTCCATGGCTCTACACAAGCATCAGTTTTTATCTGCCTCCCAGCAGCTCAAACTAGGCTCTGTCACTTGCTGTATAGTTTCTTTCATTACCTTACAGTCCTTGTGTTTGTAAACAGCATTGTCTTACCTTTTTGTCCTATGTAGATTGAAGCACCTGTGCTACTTATAATGCCTTTTTCTTTAACATGATCTCCCTGAACATAGGTAAGAAACGTATTTTAATCTTGTTAATTTTTTCTACACACAATAAACCTGAAGTCATCCATTGCCTTCGTTTGCCATTGATTTTTACATATCTGTATCTGTCATTAGACATGAACTCTCTTCATTCATATGCAATAATGCACTGTCAAATGTCTCTAGTTTGGCACCCATTTTTTAACTATACTCAGTGTTGTGAGCCTGGTTTTGGGCCAAACAGTTCACTTTATGGAAACCTCTATTCTCAAAATGAATCCAATCGTAGAATCTTCATATAAGCACACATGTGTATAGGACTTTGCAAAAAAAGAATCTGATGAATCACTAGGAATACAACCAATCTGTCATTACATCCTAAATCCTTGATTGAAGAACTCCTTAAGCCCTTTAGCTTTTTGTGTGCTCATTTTCTATTACCCTGGGTACTGTCTCCATATTAACAGCTCATTTTTGCAATCATCATCAGTTAAGTACTTTTCTTGCTTGTCAGGTATGGTAGAGATTTTAGCTCTAAACATTACTGTATCATCAAGTAATGGAGCTAAACTTTATGTTGAAGTTTGTTGGGCCTAACAGTTCCTGCATTTAACTAGCAGGCCTGTCATAGATGATTTTCTTAAAACTCTAAAGGTATAAATTGTAGAGATAATAATTTCACTTCTGGTGAATGATTGGTAGATGATGTCCATTGAGGTATTTTTTTTTTTTTTTTTTTTTCTGCTCACAAGAATGCTTTGCCATACCACAAAACCTCTAAATATGCATATGATGATGGATTCCAAGTAGACACTGCAGTTCATTTGCTATTTGAACTACATTTGAAATAAATGCAATGATAACAAATATATATTTATGAATACATCTATTTTTTTTTTAATTTAAGAAGTACAGTAATAAAGAAGTACAATACAGTGGACCCTTGGCTAACGCCTTTAATCCGTTCCAGAGAGCTAGGCTTTAACCGATTTAGCCTTTAACCAAATTAATTTTCCCCATAAGAAATAATATTGGCAGTTTGGAGGGATATGTTTGTGTATCTTTATACGTATATGCTTCTAAACTGTTGTATTCTGAGCACCTCTGCAAAAACAGTGATTATGTGTGAGTGAGGTGAAAGTGTTGAATGATGCTGAAAGTATTTTCTTTTTGGGGATTTTCTTTCGTTTTTGGGTCACCCTGCCTCGGCGGGAGACAGCCAACTTGTTGAAAAAAAAAAAATAATGGAAATCCAATTAATCCATTCCTGCTGTCAGGAGGCTTGACAAAATAGTAGTACTTCAATATGATGCTAATGTCAACTCTACAGCTTATTTATCTATCATAATTCATCTAATATGACATAATAAACAATATTAATAACATAGAAACATGATATTTACTCTAGAATAAATAAAATGTCAAATGTATGTGAGGATAAGTGATGGAAGTGTTGTTGTTGGGTTTATAATGGCCACTGAGAGAAGCCATACAAGCTTCTGCCACCACCACTATCCACAATCAATATATGAATGTAATTTATAAATAAGAAATATTTACATTTTAATTTATAAAAAAGTTTATTCAGGTATACACAGATACACTTACGTACATAGATTATCATACCTGGAGTTTACCTGGAGAGAGTTCCGGGGGTCAACCGTTCCGCGGCCCGGTCCGTGACCAGGCCTCCTGGTGGATCAGAGCCTGATCAACTAGGCTGTTACTGCTGGCTCCACGCAAACCAACGTACGAGCCACAGCCCGGCTGGTCAGGAACCGACTTTAGGTGCTTGTCCAGTGCCAGCTTGAAGACTGCCAGGGGTCTGTTGGTAATCCCCCTTATGTATGCTGGGAGGCAGTTGAACAGTCTCAGGCCCCTGACACTTATTGTATGGTCTCTTAACGTGCTAGTGACACCCCTGCTTTTCATTGGGGGGATGTTGCATCGTCTGCCAAGTCTTTTGCTTTCATAGTGAGTGATTTTCGTGTGCAAGTTCGGTACTAGTCCTTCTAGGATTTTCCAGGTGTATATAATCACGTATCTCTCCTGCCTGCGTTCCAGGGAATACAGGTTTAGGAACCTCAAGCGCTCCCAGTAATTGAGGTGTTTTATCTCCGTTATGCGCGCCGTGAAGGTTCTCTGTACATTTTCTAGGTCAGCAATTTCACCTGCCTTGAAAGGTGCTGTTAGTGTGCAGCAATATTCCAGCCTAGATAGAACAAGTGACCTGAAGAGTGTCATCATGGGCTTGGCATCCCTAGTTTTGAAGGTTCTCATTATCCATCCTGTCATTTTTCTAGCAGATCCGATTGATACAATGTTATGATCCTTGAAGGTGAGATCCTCCGACATGATCACTCCCAGGTCTTTGGCGTTGGCGTTTCGCTCTATTTTGTGGCCAGAATTTGTTTTGTACTCTGATGAAGATTTATTTCCTCGTGTTTACCATATCTGAGTAATTGAAATTTCTCATCGTTGAACTTCATATTGTTTTCTGCAGCCCACTGAAAGATTTGGTTGATGTCCGCTTGGAGCCTTGCAGTGTCTGCAATGGAAGACACTTTCATGCAGATTCGGGTGTCATCTGCAAAGGAAGACACGGTGCTGTGGCTGACTTCCTTGTCTATGTCAGATATGAGGATGAGGAACAAGATGGGAGCGAGTACTGTGTCTTGTGGAACAGAGCTTTTCACCGTAGCTGCCTCGGACTTTACTCTGTTGACTACTACTCTCTGTGTTCCGTTAGTGAGGAAATTATAGATCCATCGACCGACTTTTCCTGTTATTCCTTTAGCACGCATTTTGTGCGCTATTACGCCATGGTCACACTTATCGAAGGCTTTTGCAAAGTCTGTATATATTACATCTGCATTCTTTTTGTCTTCTAGTGCATCTAGGACCTTGTCGTAGTGATCCAATAATTGAGACAGACATGTTGCCCTGGGTTGTGTAACTGATGGGTTTCTAGATGGGTGGTGATCTTGCTTCTTAGGACCCTTTTAAAGATTTTTATGATATGGGATGTTAATGCTATCGGTCTGTAGTTCTTTGCTGTTGCTTTACTGCCCCCTTTGTGGAGTGGGGCTATGTCTGTTGTTTTTAGTAACTGTGGGACGACCCCCGTGTCCATGCTCCCTCTCCATAGGATGGTAAAAGCTCGTGATAGGGGCTTCTTGCAGTTCTTGATGAACACAGAGTTCCATGAGTCTGGCCCTGGGGCAGAGTGCATGGGCATGTCATTTATCGCCTGTTCGAAGTCATTTGGCGTCAGGATAACATCGGATAGGCTTGTGTTAACCAAATTCTGTGGCTCTCTCATAAAAAATTCATTTTGATCTTCGACTCTCAGTCTGGTTAGTGGCTTGCTAAAAACTGAGTCATATTGGGACTTGAGTAGCTCACTTATTTCCTTGCTGTCATCTGTGTAGGACCCATCTTGTTTAAGTAGGGGCCCAATACTGGACGTTGTTCTCGACTTTGATTTGACATAGGAGAAGAAATACTTTGGGTTTCTTTAGATTTCATTTATGGCTTTTAGTTCTTCCCGCTATTCCTGACTCCTATAAGATTCCTTTAGCTTAAGTTCGATGCTTGCTATTTCTCTGACCAGTGTCTCCCTACGCATTTCAGATATATTGACCTCTTTTAGCCGCTCTGTTATTCTTTTCCGTCGCTTGTAAAGGGAGCGCCTGTCTCTTTCTATTTTACATCTACTCCTCCTTTTTCTTAGAGGAATAAGCCTTGTGCATACATCGAGTGCCACCAAGTTAATCTGTTCTAGGCATAAGTTGGGGTCTGTGTTGCTTAGTATATCTTCCCAGCTTATATCAGTAAAGTACCTAGGATAACCCAAAAAAGCCAGAGTGACTTAGGTATTTCCATTGGGGTCCTTTTATATTTACACTTATATTTATACTTTTATATTTACACTTACCTTGGAGGAGATGTTAGTTTAATTAGTTTGATGGAGGAGATGCTGGCAGAGGTTTAGAGTGGTGGAAGATACGTAGCAGGCCGGCATATGTTCAGCGGTCCGATACACATACAACAACATTGGAGAGTTACTTTCGTGTCTTTTTCTACCGCTTACTTGCTTAACTTTCTACGCTGATTGGCACTATAGCCTTTATCGATACCTGCTGCTTTAGTATTGTACATATCGTAGAATCACTGAATCACTGCAGAAGGCACATTCACCCCTCTCTCTTCCTCCTCCACTTTGATACTTTGCTATGAGTTTTTTCTTGAATTTTATTGTTTCTTTCCTTCTTTATCACAGGGCTGGCACTAGAAACTTTCTTTGGGCCTATGGTGGCTTATTTAGTAGTTAAAGCACTAAAAACAATGGAATAATACAAAATATATTGCATGTTAGGTAGTAGGTTGGTAAACAGCAACCACCCAGGGAGGTACTACTGTCCTGCCAAGTGAATGTAAAACGAAAGCCTGTAATTGTTTTACATGATGGTAGGATTGCTGATGTCCTTTTTTTCTGTCTCATAAACATGCAAGATTTCAGGTACATCTTGCTACTTCTACTTACACTTAGGTCACACTACACATACATGTACAAGCATATACTATATACACACACACCCCTCTGGGTTTTCTGCTATTTTCTTCCTAGTTCTTGTTCTTGTTTATTTCCTCTTATCTCCATGGGGAAGTGGAACAGAATTCTTCCTCCGTAAGCCATGCGTG